ATTCTTACACATTTCCACGTGAACTTTAGGATTAGTGTATTCATGTTAGTTAAGTTCTTCTGAGTTTTTGAGGGTGTGTGGAATTTTTGGGTTAATTTAGGAGTGGGCATCTCGACAATATTGGCATTTCCTCTAGGAATGATGATTATGGGACGCAGGTTTTGCACTTTCTGGTTTATTGCTTGGCTGGTTGCCGGCGGGCGGGCACTGCTCCACACATCACACCCAAGAAATCTCCCACTTTATCTTTCCAAATCAGGCTAAATGTTCTCATCTGGTAGGATGTCATATCAATGCTTTGGGGACTCACTCCCCCAACCCCAGAGATGAAGTGAGGCTGAGAGATTGGAGTGGGGTCTGGCCCTCAGTGCCCTTGCCCTTCCTGACTCGCAGTGCGGCTGCCAGGGCTTTCTGTACCTGGAGAGGTGGGGGGCAGGGAAGATGCCCCCTCACATCCTCAGCTCCTCTTCTCCACCCAAGGCTTGGCCATCAGGGACCCTGACATCCAGGCCATGATCTTAGTGATCAGGCCCCAGTCACCCCTAGAGGGGTGCTGCAGGGGAACAAAGGGAAGGCATGGGACATGACTGTCAGGAATCCAGAACCCAGGAGTTCAGGTCACTCCCTCCTTCCAGTCCAAGCACCCCCACCCCTCCCAGATAATTCCAGCTTAATTCCTTGATGGGCCAAGTATCCTAAACAAAGTCTGGATAGAAGTGCTCTGCACTGCCCCCTGCAGCCTGCCAGAGGTAAGAGCCTGCCCGTCAAAATGAGAAGTCCTGGTTGTTGTGAGGAGGTGGGGACCAGAGCCAGAAACAGATTCATCTCACTTTTTCACCATGAACCTAAACTTGGGAAAGCAAGACACAGTACATTTCTCCATCATCCTGATACTTTTCTAACTGGTTATAACTGGGTCACATGCACCAGTGTTTTCCAGCATCTTTCAAGTGGCCACCTAACATTCTGCACCTTCAAATGGCCCTTCAGTTGCTTCTCTTGGATTTCCTAAATAGACTGTCATTGGCAAATACCAGTTTATCCTTTTCCAACATTTATTTATTTATATATTTCATTTTGTTTTGCTTTTGACAGCTGGCCGGTACAGGGACCTGAACCTGCAAACTCAGTGTTGTAAGGCTGTGCTCCAACCAACTGAGCTAACCATTCTCCAACATTTACGTTAATGGTTTCCCATGTCTTATTTGTTTAGAATAGGGTTTCTCAACACCAGCACTATTGACATTTTTGACTAAGTAATTCTTCGTTATGGGGGCTGTCTGTACAGTGTAGGATGTTTAGCAGCATTCCTGGCCTCTCGCTCATCAGATATCAATAGAACTCCTCAGATGTGACAACCAAGTATCTCTAGACATTGCCAAATATCCCTAGGGAGGCAAAATCACCCGCAGTTGAGAACCGCTGGCCTAAGAACTTCTAGAACAGTGTTAGATGATGGTAATGATAGCACTTTACTGCTCTTGACTTTAATGGGAATACCTCTAGTATCGAAGTATACTAGTATCTGTATACTGCTCTTTGGGCTATTAATATACTATATCAAAACATAATTTTCGGGCCAGACCAGTGGTGCACTCAGTAGAGTGCAGCGCTTGGGAGTGTGGCGGCACTCCCGCCGAGGGTTCGGATCCCATATAGAGACTGGCCGCTCACTGGTTGAGCGCGGTGCGGGCGCGACACCGAGGGTTGCGATCCCGTTACTGGTCACGAAAAAAGACAAAAAGGAAAAAAAACCAAAAAAACATAATTTTCAAAAAGAGAAAAACATGGGCCGGCCCAGTGGCGCACTGCTACAGTGCGCCGCTTGGGAGCGCGGTGGTGCTCCCACCAAGGGTTCGGATCCCACGTACAGACCGGCCGCTCACTGGCTGAGCAAGGTGTGGGTGCAACACCGAGGGTTGCGATCCCATTGCCGGTCCCGGTCTGGTATGGGCGCGACACTGAGGGTTGCGATCCGTTGCCGGTCACGAAAAAAGACAAAAAAAAATAAAAATAAAAAAAAAATAAAAAACAAAAAGAGAAAAACATGACTTTCATACAAATGAGGAATATTTTGTCAGATATTTTCTTTAATTCATGAGGGAATCAGAAGATGGTGAAGCTATATCAAAGAGCATTTTGAGAAACAGAATTTATAGTGTACCAGGAAGGGCATTTTGAAATGCATGCCGAGTTAGAGACGAAACTTGTTAATCCCTATAAGGCAATAATACTGTCATCTTTGGGGGTTATCTTTTCTACTCGACAGAAATTAGTAAGTTAACATATAACTTCTCAGGTACATTTTTCTACATTAGTGATTTTCAAACCATGGTCCCCAAACCAGAAGCATCAGCATCACCTGGGAACTTGTTGGAAATGCAAATGCTCAGGTCCCACTCCAGACCTACTGTATCAGAAGCTCTGGTGCTGGGCCCAGCAGTCTGTATTCTAACAAGCCCTGCAGGTGATTCTGATGCACTCTAAGGTTTGAGAACCACTGCTCTAAATAATCAAATACTCTTTTATTTCTGAAACAAATATCTGTGAAACAATGCTCCAGTATGACATTGAAATGACACACCACCCACTTTTTTGCCTTATTTCCAAATTTAAATTTATCTGTGTGATACTAAACTTGCTGTTTCCTGTTTTCTTTTTCAGATACTCTATCAACAAGGCAGTTTTAATTTATTCCTAATTTTTCTTTTTTTTCTCTTTTGATAAAAAATAGTTTTTCATCCCTGTACTGGCCAGTTGGCCCCCCTCCTCCATGGTTTTCCAAAACTATCCATTTTTTCCTCTTCTTTAACCTATTTATATGATAAAAATACAAGTTGAACTGTTCTTATATTCTTAAAATAAAAATTTTCTTTGACGTGGTGTAGTATTTTAACATACTGTAGGTTTCAAAAGGCTAATGTTTATAACTTAAAAAACAAAAACAAGGGCCGGCCCGTGGCTCACTCGGGAGAGTGCGGTGCTGATAACACCAAGGCCACGGGTTCGGATCCTATATAGGGATGGCCGGTTCGCTCACTTGGGAGAGTGTGGTGCTGACAACACCAAGTGGAGGGTTAAGATCCCCTTACCGGTCATCTTTAAAAAAAAAAAAAAAAAAAAAAAAAAAACCTCTTTATCAGGCTGGCTGGTCAGCTCAGTTGGTTAGAGCATGGTGCTGATAACACCAAGGACCAGGGCTGGATCCCTGTATTTACATTTCTTCCGATTTTATGGAGCAGTTTTGAGATAAGAGGTGCTCCTGTTTCCCTGGGCTCAGGTTCCAAGACAGCCTCTGGGTTTCAGGCCACTCCCTGAGGCCTCGGGCTCCTCCCCTGGGCCCTCCCCTAGAAGAAAGCTACTGTTGCCAGCTAGACCTATTTTCAGCAGCAACGTGGGTAAATGAGACCACAAGGGGCTGGCTTATGCAAAGAAAGTGTCTGGGCATGCTCAGTAGAGAAGGGTCATATAACCCTGGTAGGTCAATGACCTTCCACTAGAGGTGCTACAGAGCACCAAATATTCTTGAATATGTCTCATGACATATTCAAGGGTTAGACCAATGAACGTGCTCCAAAGGGGGACCAACCGAGCATGTGCAAGACTATGTTACATAACTGGGAAACTCCTCCTTAATTGAATATTCATTAGATGGCAATACTATAAAGGCAGAGTCCCAGCAGAAGGCGGGCTATTGCTCACTCTCCTGGAGTGTCCTGCACTGTGCATATGGAGTGTGTATTTCTTTCTTTTCGTATAAAACTTATTTTCAGCAAGTTATTGGTCGCTTTCCTGGAGGCAGCCCTCACTTCACCAGCTGAGGTGTGTATGCTTTACTTTGTATCCAACTTACTTTCAGCAAAGGACTGCTCACTCTCTTGAGCCAGCCTGCCCTCTACTGAAGTTTAATTATTTCTTGCTTTTGTGTTAAACTGGGTGTGGGTCCTGCTCAGTCTCTGGATCTCGGCCACACTCTGTGAAATCTGTATCTCTTATTCATTATATTAAACCTGATCTCACTTTCTACTCTTGAATTCTTTCCTGTGGCAGAGTCAAGAACCTGGTAAGAGGACATGTGGACCCGACTATTGGTCCCCCCGGGACCCTAGCTCCAACATCAGTTTAATTGTCATGGGCCCTGTCCATCTTCTGAAAGCTTGAAAGTCTGCAACAGTAAAACCAGCTGAGCCTGGTGTATGGGGTGGGCATAGAATTTAGGAAGATCTCAAACTATTCCATTTCCTCTTTGGTTATTAGTCTGTTCTCTAGTGTATTTTTGTTGTTCTTTTGTCTTTTTGTTTTTAACCTCTTCAAATCAATGTTAGAAACCTAGTTTCCCTAGACCATCCATTTGCTCAAAGTCACCAATAAGCAGATTACTGCAATTTAAAGCAGCTGATTTTTCTTCCATCAGATTGGCAAAAATTAAGGTAAACAGGTAGTGTTGGTGAAGCTGTAGGGAAAAGGTTTTCTTGAACGTGTAAATTGTTACAGCCTTTTTTGCTAGATTGCTAAGAGCATTCATCAAAATGAAATAAAATACCCATGCACTTGGAGATATTTGAGGGTACCATTTTCTTATCTGGGTGCTGGTTACATGGGGTGTAACCACAGTTTATGAGAATTCATTGTTTTATACTTATATGTACAGTTTTCTGTATGTGTATTATATTTCAATAAAGTTTTAAAAATATGTCTTTTGTCACAGTCCACAGCTACATATAAATGGTATTGCTTAACGTGGAGTACATGGAAATGACCTGACTCCTGTGACCCTGCCCCCTTAAGTTAAACAAATAAAATGACTTCTAGTGCCTTGGTTCTGTCCTCAGTTAAACTGGGGGGTCGGCGCGGGATGTTTGCGGGGAAGGGAGACAGAGGAGAGGCCTCTTGCACCCCACCGTCCCCCTGCACCTCCAGCCGCCGCGACCTGCCCCCAGTCCCGCGTAGGCTCCGCCCCCCGACGCTGCGAGTCGGAGTCACGTGGTCGCCGGATCAGCTGACCGGGCGCCGCCGGAATAAGAAACTGCTAGGCTCGGGGCTCCAGGAGCCATGGTGAGGGACCAGGGGTGATGCGAGGGAGGGGGTGCTGGGGGCGGGAAGGATGGGGCGCCGGTGGCTCCAGGAGCGAGGGGGCGCACTGGCTCCTCCGCAGTCACCCTGGGTGCGGTCGTGAGAGCCGACGGTCTGCTTGAGAAAAGCCACCCGGCTCCCGGGCACGGCAGGTGGGACAGATCCGGCCGGCTGGCTTAGAGTCCCGGGTGCTTCCGTCGCGGGAAGGATGGGCCTGCGCCTCCTGGGGCAGGAACTGGGGGGCACGTCCGGCCTTTCCAGGACCCAGTAGTGCTTCCCAGAGGTGCCCAATTCCCCAGCCCTCCTGTGGGACTTGGACAAGAACTTGCTTAGAATCAGGATCACTCTTCCACACTGCGAGGAGGCCACTCCACTCTTCCCAGAGCCAGAAAGTAGTTTTTCAGTCGGGACTTCCTATCCATCCGTTCATCGATTCATTCTACAGATAACGTTTTGAGCGCTTAGTCTATACCATGCAGTGTGCCAGGCACTGGGACTTCAGCTGCAGGAGGGGAGACGTCAGTGCCTTGAACTGGCAGTCAGAGTTAGGACTTAAGGGGCAGAGACCTAACTGCGCCGTGTGCGTAGTATTAGAAAGCTTCCTGAGGATGACATCTACCTGAGGGTCTGGAGTGTGTATGGTGTGGAGAGGGAGCAGGAAGCTGGCTGGGTGAGGTACAGTTTGTGTACCAAGGGTAGGGAGACAAGGGAAGAGTCGGGGGAGAGTGTGTTCAGACAGGGAACAGCATGCGCAAAGACATTCAAATAGCTGGAAGAGTATAATCTGGATGTTAGTGAAAAATGAGGCTGTTGTACGAGTCTTGGATCACTGTGATGAAGATAATGAACGTATCTACTGGCCCCCAAAATATCCTTGTGCCTGGGGCTATTTTAAAAAGTATGATCAGGGAGGGCTCATCTGATGAGGTGTCACGTGAGCAGAGACCTGAGTGAAATGAGAGAGAGCAAGCCACGCAGCGGGGGCGACAAGGGGGCAGCAATGGGGGAGCCAGGATGGTGTGACTGAAGAAGCGGGAAATCCAGTGTAGCTGGAGCCAGGGATGAGACGCAGAGGAGGTGAAAGAGGTCACTCATGTCCATGAGGTCAGGGACTTTGTTCCCTACTGTACCCGTACCATGTAGAATGGGATCCACAGAGGAGGCGCTCAGTTGATGTTTGTTGAGCAGACGAATACCTGGAGTAGACATCAGAGCAAGGTTTGATGGCAGTGTGGGTCAGGGAGAGAGTTCTCTAAACAGCCTGGTGATCGGGGAGAACAAGTGGCCAGAGGGCGTCCATCTTGGACAAGGACCAGGAGGCCCCTACTGAGCAATAGTGCGGACAACACAAACAGATCCTGGTCACCCCTCAGCCCTCCCTCCAGCCCGGTCACCTGCCTCACTTCTTGCAGAGGTTCCGGTTCTGTGGTGATCTGGACTGCCCTGACTGGGTCCTGGCGGAGATCAGCACGCTGGCCAAAATCGTTGAGTACACAGGGTCTAACTAGGGTTGGCGGGGAGGCAGGCTGGGGCTGGAGCTTGGGAGGGGAGAGTGGTAATGTCACTCTGGGGTTGGAGCCTCAGTGCTCTCAGCCTGTGCCAGTATGCTGTGCGACCTTGATCTCATGGCTGGCCCTCTTGAGCCAGCCCCCCAGCAATGAGAGGTGAGGTAGGGCAGTCTGGCTGACATGAGGACTTTCCTTCCAGTCCTCCGTGAAGCTGCGGCTGCTGTGCAGCCAGGTGCTAAAGGAGCTTCTGGGACAGGGGATTGACGTGAGTACAGGGACCGGCACCCCATTGTCCCATGATTTTATGATCCCTATTGCCCTGGAACTCTGTACCAGGCCCAGGGAAGTGGGTGATCCAGCTCTCGACCACCCTGGACACTTCCCATCCTCTTTAGCCCCAGTCAGTTCCTTACTACAGGATCCAGGCCTGGGGTGAGGAGCTGGTGAGCAGGGGTCTGGCACCCCCTGAGGGTCTCCTCTCCCCATAGTATGAGAAGATCCTAAAGCTCACTGCTGACGCCAAGTTTGGTGAGTACCCCGCTGCATCCACAGGCCTCTGGCAACCCTTTCGTACTCAGCCTGGTGCATGGCACAGAGGCCCCCTCCTCCCAGCAGCCCTCTCTGACCCACCTGCCTCAGTGGAGGAGCATGAGGGGAAGAAAGACAGTGACAATCCCGCCCTCCTGTCCTCTGCAAGCCCTGGTGGAGCAGTCGCAGTGCCTGTGGCTCAAGGAGGCCTGGGGTCTCTGAGCCAAAGATAATAGGGGAACAAAGAGGTGGCTGGGGCCACAGTGACATCCCCTGCTGCATCCCTGGGTCCCCCAGAGTCAGGCGATGTGAAGGCCACGGTGGCAGTGCTGAGTTTCATCCTCTCCAGTGCGGCCAAGCATAGCGTAGATGGCGAATCCTTGTCCAGTGAACTGCAGCAGCTGGGGCTGCCCAAAGGTATGGATCGTGGGTGGGCAGGTTGGTAACTTGTGGGTCCAGGCCAGGCCATGTGACCCCGAGGTGCACCCTGCCTTCTCTGGGCCAGGAGACTGAGACCTGCCCTCTGATCAGCCCCAGCCCCCACCTGCTACCTCAAGAGACCCCAATTCTGCCCCCAGAGCATGCGGCCAGCCTGTGCCGCTGTTACGAGGAAAAGCAAAGCCCTCTGCAGGAGCACCTGCGGGCCTGCAGCCTGCGTGGTAAGTGTGGGCCAACCAGGGTAGGGTCTGGGTTCCATTCTAGAGGTGCATGCAGCATGCAAAGTGCCAGTCCTCAGAAGACAACTGTGGCCACACATTGAGCAGTCACAGGGCCAGGACCTGGCTGCAGTTCTCCTGACTCCAGCCCAGGCTTCTTTTCTCTGAGGTTTGCTGTGGCTAATCTGACCTCCTGATTATTGAACACCTGCCCTATCCAAGGCTGGATCAGAAGGAAGAGAGCTTCTTAGAGGCCACACAGTCTTGAAGGGTTGAGGGCTGAGCCAGGGGGTAGAGTGAGGGCTGCCTGGCTCGGCCGCCTGTGAACCTGAGGGTTGCCCCACCCCCTCTCACAGTGAATAGGTTGGCAGGTGTGGGCTGGCGGGTGGACTACACTCTGAGCTCCAGCCTGCTGCAATCTGTGGAAGAGCCCATGGTGCACCTGCGGCTGGAGGTGGCAACGGCCCTGGGTGTCCCAGCCCAGCCTGTTACCATGTCCCTTTCAGCAGACAAGTTCCAGGTCCTCCTGGCAGGTGAGGCTCAGCTGTGCGTGGAAGGGTGAGGGACCCTCCCAGATCCCACCTCACTGCCTCCCTCCTGTTCATCTCTTCCCCCTGCAGAACTGAAGCAGGCACAGACCCTGATGAGCTCCCTGGGCTAAAAAGAAGGGTGTTCTGGGCCTGTGTGGAGCCACCCTTCCTGTGTCGCTGCTGCCCTCTGAACTTCTCTTCAGGGGAGGTCCCAGTTCTAGGATGCTGGGGGCCTGGCCTGCGCCCTGGCCTCCCAGATCCCTGGCTGCCTAGTTTCTCCCCTGAGAATTCAACACAGGGCTCCTGCAGACTTTTTCCAGCATTGCCTTCCCTCTCCTTGAAAGGCACTTGTCAACCGTTTTCATGAGCGAGAAGAATAAACAGAAGTATGGAGGAGTGTGTGCGTGGGTTTCTTTTTGGGTTCAGATCGAGGGTTTTTGTGAGAGAGACACCAACCTCTCTGGCCCATCTTTCATTTTCTTTTCTCAACTGCTGATTGAGGCAGGTCATGGATGAGGCAGACTAAAGATTGAAATGAAACTGCTTGTCTGTAGATAGGAAAGTCAGGGTTCTGGCTCCCAGTCTTGTGATGCCCTTGCCTCTGCCCTCTCTGTGCTAGCCTTGTCCTCAGGCCAGCAGCAAGTGGGTGGCCCTAATGACAAATGTCCCATGTAGAGAAAGGAGAGAGCCCTTGTCTCCCTGCCATCTTCTGTAGAAAGAGAAGGGCCCATGCCTGAAACGCTCGTTGGCAAGAGGAATGGCGTTATGGACTGTAATGGATTGAATTATGTCCCCCTCAAAGTCATGGAAGCTTGAATTGTGTTCCCAAGTTTTATGTATTAGAAACTTGGCCCCCACTGTGACTGTTAGGAGGGTGATAAATCCTATTATGGTAATTGAAAGGTGGAGCCTTGAAGAGGTGATTGGATTGTAGGACCCTGCAGTAGTGAATGGATTAACAATGGCGGTCAGGGGCACGTTTCTGAGGGCTTTAAAAGAAGAGAGAGGAGATTCCCTCCCACTTGCTCTTCTCTCTTCTTGCACCATCTTGCAATGTGAGAACCATGGGTCACCGTAGCCACCACATGTATGCCTTGGACTTTTGACTTCCAAGCCTCAGAAACTGTAAGCAATAAATTTTGTTTTCAGGGCTGACCCGTGGCTCACTTGGGACGGTCAGGGGCACGTTTCTGAGGGCTTTAAAAGAAGAGAGAGGAGATTCCCTCCCACTTGCTCTTCTCTCTTCTTGCACCATCTTGCAATGTGAGAACCATGGGTCACCGTAGCCACCACATGTATGCCTTGGACTTTTGACTTCCAAGCCTCAGAAACTGTAAGCAATAAATTTTGTTTTCAGGGCTGACCCGTGGCTCACTTGGGAGAGTGTGGTGCTGACAACACCAAGTCAATGGTTAAGATCCTCTTACTGGTCATCTTTTAAAAAAAATAATAAATATATAAATAAATAAATTTTGTTTTCTTTGTAAATCACCCAGTTTCAGATGTTTTGTTATAAGCAACAGAAATGGACTAATACATGGACCGAATTTTCATGTTCCCCCAAAATTCATATGTTGGAGCTGCTCTCTTTCTATGCATGCACCAAAGAAAGGGCATGTGAGCACACAGTGAGAAGGCAGCCGTCTATAAGGCAGGAAGAGGAACTTAATCTGCTGGCCCCTTGATCCTGAACTTCACAGCCTCCAGAACTGTGAGAAATAGATTCCTGTTGTTTAAGCCACCCAGTGTGTGGTATTTTGTTATAGCAGGCTGAGCTGACGAAGGCAAATGGACGAACCAGGGCTTCTTGTAGAAAAGGGTGATTCCAGGGTTGGGGTAGAGAGAGTCCGAGAGCCTGGAGTATTTTGGAGTGCAAGGAAGCTATCAAAGAATAATAGCTTGTTCCACTGGCCAAAGATCGGACAATCTGAGTATCAAAAGAGGTAGGATTGACTTCACTCCTGACTTCTGCTTCTGGAAAAACAAAGATCTTTACCCTATTCCTCCAACTAAGTACAGCTAACAACTCTGGACCTAAAAGAAGACTTTGAAAGATGGAGAGCAGAAGGCTGGGGTCCTCAGGACCCAAGGACCAATGCAACAGGGAATTCCCTGGAATCTGGGCCCTGTAGCCCAGTCAAGTTGACACATAAAACTAACCACCACAGATTTATAGGACTATATGAAAGATCTAATGTTTGTGTCATTAGAGTCCCAGAAGGTGAGGAGAAAAAGAGTGGGGTGAAAAATGTATCCAAAGAAATAATGGCTAAAAATTTCCCAAATATGGCAAAAGACATAAACCTGGAGATTCAAGAAGCTAAATGATCCCAAACAGGAAAACTCAAAGAAATCCATGGCAGGCCGGCCCGTGGCTCACTCGGTAGAGTGTGGTGCTGATAACACCAAGGCCACGGGTTCGGATCCTATATAGGGATGGCCGGTTTGCTCACTAGCTGAGCGTGGTGTTGACAACACCAAGCCAAGGGTTGAGATCCCCTTACCGGTCATCTTTCACTCATCAAATGTCTGTTTCCTCCAGGCCACCCATTAGACAGGCAGGGCAATCGTATAACTTCGTATAATGTATGCTATACGAAGAGAGATGTTGACTACAAAAGTACACGGGCACATTTTGGGGAGTGATGAAATATTCTCTCTCAATTGTGGTAAGAACACTTAATTTTTTTTTTTTTTTAATCCTATATAGAGATGACCGGTAAGGGGATCTTAACCCTTGACTTGGTGTTGTCAGCACCACACTCAGCCAGTGAGCGAACCGGCCATCCCTATATGGGATCCGAACCCGGGGCCTTGGTGTTATCAGCACCGCACTCTACCGAGTGAGCCACGGGCCAGCCCGGTAAGAACACTTAACATGAGAGCTACCCTCTTAACAAATGTTTAGGTGTACAGTACAGTGTTGTTAATTATAGGCGCATGTTGTACTGTAGATCTCTAGAACTTACTCAGTTTGCATAACTGAAACTTCATACCCTTTGAATAGCAACTCCCCGTTTCCCCTCCCCCCAGCTCCTGGCAACCACCATTCTACTCAGTGCTTCCACATGTTTGACTATTTTAGATACCTCATAACTGGAATCATGCAGTATTTGTCCTTTTGTTACCAACTTATTTCAGTTAGCATAATGTCCTCAAGGTTATCCATATTGTTGCGTGTGACAGGATTTCCTTTTTAAGGCTAAATAATATTCCATGGTTAGTTCAAAATAGGTGCTGCCAAAAAAAAAAAAAATCCATTGTATGTATATACCACATTTAAAAAATCCATTTATCTGTGAATAGACATTTAAGTTGTTTCTACATCCTGGCTATCTCAAATAATGCTGTGATGTGTATTGTCTCTTGATTGCGGCCACAGTTACATGCCTGTATATATTTGTCAAAACTTGCACTCTAAAAAAAGTAAATTTGGGGGCCGGCCCGTGGCTCACTTGGGAGAGTGTGGTGCTGATAACACCAAGGCCACGGGTTCGGATCCCATTTAGGATCGCCGGTTAGCTCACTTGGGAGAGTGTGGTGCTGATAGCAACAAGTCAAGGGTTAAGATCCCCTTACCAGTCATCTTTTAATAAATAAATAAATAAATAAATAAAAATAAATAGAAAGGGTAAATTTTACTGTATGTAAATTATACCTTAATTTAAACAAATAAAAACAAAACAACAAAACAAAGAAATCAC